AAAGTTATCTGACAATCATATTCTCACCCCAGTGGGGCACGTGATACAGACATGCAAGATGGGACCTTCTACTTACAGATCTGGCCTGGGTGCCCGGGCCCTGGAGTCCCTCTCTGGGGTACTTGAGGATCTCCATGTTAAAATCTGGTGAGGGCACTCCCTACCCCTCTAGAGATACCATGCCCTCTTAGAACCATGAGGCATCAGGGAAGCTTGTCTCTCCCAAGTATTGATGTGGTGGCTCTCAGTGGAGATGCTAGAGCCAGGCCTAAGCTCCACTGATGAGCTCTGTGGTCTTAGGCAAGGAGTCTAACTAACCTCTCTGAGTCTCAACAGGAAAGTGGCTGTGCTAACAGCCGTGAGAATTAAGGGCTCACTTTGTGAGTAGATTTTAGTTTGAATTTAACCGTAAACCCCGATCTAAGAACAATTAGTTCTTACAGTGTGGGCTTGCTCAATACTTGCCCTCGTGACGTGATCACAGAAGATAATGGGTTCATTAGAAAAGTGAGATGAAAAAATAAGATGGCATCCCAGCTATCAGAAAAAAATAGCGTTCTGGGGTTTTAAAGGCTTATCTTTAAACAAGCATCTGCCTAAGCGAGGCATTAGCTAAGTCCATATGGAAGAAGCACAAGCACCCATGCGATCCCAGGCTTATCATAACACATTCCAAGATCAGGGGAGGGAATTGTAGTAGGGCTTAAACTCTGAGTACCTGGCCTTGCAGAAGGCTAAGGACGCTAGCAGGAGCCATAGTGGTGTAGTGGTTATGTGTTGGGATGTGACCCAAAAGGTCAGCAGTTCAAAACCACCAGCTGCTCCTCAGGAAAAAAAGATGGGGCTTTCTACTCCCATAAAGAGTTACAGTCTCAGGAACTCACAGGGTAGTTATCCCCTGTCCTATAAGGTCACTAGGAGTTGGCCTTGACTTGAGGGCAGTGAGCTTGGCTTTGGTTTTCTGGATGGCGGTGGAAGCCCTTGGTGAGTCCCCACTCCGATCAAGCCTCCTTTGAATTCCTTTGGACCATGAACCGGGATGTGAGTCGTCTGCCCCTGAGACAGAGTTAGATTGCAAACGAATTGCTGCAGATATTGTTAGGCAAAGATTTCACATATTGTCATTGGTTTTCTTTTTTGACCCATGTTTAATTTATTTGAGTTTCTATTATCTTCTGCTCTTTCTTGGATGGAGGTTTTCTGTTTTAGTGCTGTTGTTGCTGTCTTTGGGTGTGGTTTTCTTTGTGTGAAATTCAGGAGGGGTAGATCCATAGGGACAGAAACCAGATGAACAATCCCTGAGGATTTTGCAGAGGGAGGTTGGGGGCTAATGAGGAGCTCATCACAGTGGGTTCGAGGGTGAAGAACATGTTCTCGGATTGATTGTGGTGACAATTGCACAACTCTGTTTCATATATTTAAACCTGTGATGATTATTTTTGTAAGAGCTCCTGTGAGTCGCTTAGAGCTGTGTCTGACACATGGCACCTGTCTGTCAGATATGCATCCCTCAAGGCCGGGGCTGCCTTGGACTCTTCAACCCCTTCTGAGATCCTGGGGTGAGAGGGACAGTGTGTGTGCCCCCAGGTCATGAATGCCAGGTTCCTGCTGAGGACACCGAGCACCAGGTGGGGCACCTGCTGCCACCTTTTCTCTTTACACATGGCACTGTGCTGTCAGAGGCTGGTGTAGAGCCGGGCCTGTGGTCTATAAGATAGGGAACTGCAGGGGAGCAGGAGGGCTTTGGAATCTCTGGGGTAAGCCTTCTGCTATGACCAGCCATTGACCCCCAGTGGGGAGTCTCTCTTGTCCATCCATCTCTTCCCCTGGGCTGTTGGTCTTCTCTTGTGGAACTGTTGATGTGTTCTATGGATTTTAGAAATTAGTCTCTTGCCAGAAAGGTCATTGCTCCCCACCCACCTCACCTGTCCCCCAGCCTGTAGGTGCTCTGTCTTGTGATGCAGGTGGTCTTTGGGCAGCTCGCTGAGAAGTTCCAGGGAGGCCTTGGGCCTCCCCAGCCCCATCTTCCTCTCCCAGCCCTGTCCCTCTTTCCACAGAGGCGGTGGGTCTGTGGGGACGTTTTCCACCCTCCCCGGGCCTAACACGAAGGTGCTTCTACCGCTGCTGCACTGGCTTGACCACATCTGTGGGCCTGTCTCTTTCGGGAGGGGACAGGAAGGTGGAAACTGAGGCGGGGTGGGGAGAGAGATCACAGGGAGAGCCCAGTCCACTCCTGGGATGGAACAACAGGGAATTCCCAGAGGTGTGTTCAGCTTCCACCACCCCCAGGGGAGGGGTGCAAACTGGGGTGAAAGGAACTGTTGGGGTGATTGGAAAAGGCTACGTTGCGGCTGGGTAGACAGACAGACACTGCTGATTGCAATCAGAGAACCCCAAGTGGAATTTTTTAAAAAAATAGTTTCACACCCATAGGTAGCTGGGGTGCGGGGGCTGGTGCCGGGATGGGGAGAGGGGAGGGACCGTACCTGGAGCTCAGTCTGGGTTCCTTCACATCTGTCACCTGCCCTATGTCTGCCAAATGCTGCTGCCTCTGTGCGTTTGTTGGCTCACACCAACAAAGCACCAAGCCCGTCACCGTTCAGATGGATGGCTGGTGTCCTGCGAGGTGTCAGCGTAGGACTTCGCCCCACGGGACTTCAGGGGCTGGTTTCTAAGAGATGCACCGCCAGGCTTTCCTTCCTAGGCACTTCTGGGTGGGTTGGAACCACTCGCCTTTGGACTAGCAGCCAGGTGTATTGTCCATTTGTACCTTCTCTGGAAACTAGGCAAGGTGCTCTGGCAGTGCTGTCAGGTAAAGCGTTAGATGGCTAACCTCAAGGTTGGCGCTTCAAACCCACCAGCCACCTCGAAGGAGAAACATGAGGCTGTCTGCTCCTGTGGAGGTAGTCTGTGAGTCAGAATCAACTCGCTGGCACTAGAGTCATCAGGAGGGCCCCGGGGAGCTTAGTGTGGAAGCACTCTGAATGCAGGCCTTCCCTCTCCTGCCTGGGGAGGAATAGTCTGGAATCCCAGAAGCATGTTTGTCTGAACAGCCGTCAGCCAGTCAGCTCTGGGGCCCTGGGCAGCCAGGGCTCTGCAGGTCTCTGGATCCTCAGTTATGGGTGGCCAGGTCAGCGGCCTCCCCCAGAGCCCCTGGTCTACAGAAGCCAGCTATTCCCAGTGGCCGAGAACCTGCGGCTGCCTCGTTCCTTGAAATCCCGGGCCTTTGTGTTATGCACAGGGGAGTGCAGACGGGCCTCCTCCCCCCTTGCTCAGAGAGGTGTCAGAGAGAAGAGGAACTGGAGTGGGTGGGGGCTGAGGGTGAGGGGTGACTTGGCAGGGGTGGGGGAGGAGGGAAGCCCACCCACACTTGATGTGGTTACCTACACCAAACCCTGGGCTTGACCTGGGGAATTCTTTAACCCTAGGGGTGGAGGGTTGGGGAGACCCCTCTGCCTGCTTCTTCAAGGTGACGACCCCCCCCCCCACACACACACACACAGTGGAAAAAGAGAAACTCGTTTCAGGATGATTTGCATGGGAAGCACATAGGCAAATGAGCCGGCCCGTGGGGGGCTGGTGTTTTCATGGCGTTTGCTCAAGCATGCCCCCCCTCCAACCTCCCCCCACCCCCAAGTCTGAGAACTGACACGGCCAGGCTGTCTGACCCTGTGCAAACAGGGAGTGCCCAGGGCTGCTGGCTGCAAGGTTGGAGGTTTGAGACCACACAGAGGCTTCTCAGAAGAGAAGTCTGGTGGTCCCTGGGACCCCGGAGACTGACCGGAGCTAGCGTGGAGAAGGTGGAGACGGGCCAGGCTCGCCCCCAAGGCGGCGTCACACAGAGGCACGCTTCCTGAAGGCCCCAGGTGCCCCCTGCTCTGAGCTCTCCCCAGGAGGGCCAGGCCTCCTCTCAGCCAGAAGTGGACACGGTCCCCCATCACCTCGGGGTGGCCTTCAGCCTGGGCTAGGGGGAGAATTCCTTGGGTATTCTGCTCCTGGGTTTGGGCGTAGTCCGGGACCTCCGTCTTGGAAGCAGATACATCAGGGATGTGGAGAGCAGCCCCCAGTGCCCATGAGGTAAGGAGGGAGGCAGGAGTGCTTCCTACAGTGGACACCGGTGGACATCTGACCCAACTGCCCACCACTCCTAACCTCCCAGAGGGCCCTCCCACCCACCTGCCACCTGGCTGACTAGCAAGCAGGAGAAGCTGATCAAAGGAACGAGATCCAGCAGCCTGTGCTTCAGCTCTGGCCTCAACAGAAAGTAAGTGGACAAGCCATCACATTGGCTCAGGGTTTCCTTTCACGTGGCTCCTGGAAGCAGTGGTCAAGAGATCAAACGATGCATGCGTGGGGTAAACGCACTGCCCAAGCCCTCTTTTACAATGTTGAGAGGCAAGGAAGTCCCTTTGAGGTCTCAGTCAGCCTGACCCGAGTCCTGGTATTTTCAGTCATCTCATACACATGTGAACATTGAACACTGAATAAGGAAGACCCAAGAATCGGTGCACTTGACTTATGGCATTGGCAAACAAGGATTGAAAGTACCGTGGACTGCCAAGGGAACACACGAATAAGTCTTGGGAGAAGTACAGCCAGGATGTTCCTGAGAAGGGAGGATAGTGGAACCTCCTCCCACAGATGACGTGTTATCAGGAGGGACGAGGGACACCGTGCTCAGTAAGGGAGAGGGTCCCCGACAAAGAGGAAAACTCAAGAAATGGACTGAGACAGTGGCTGCCACAAGGAGCTAAGCCGTGACAACCCTTGTTGGGGTGGCGCAGGACGGGGGCTGTTTTGCGCTGCTGTACGCAGGGTTGCTACGAATCAGGACCAAGTCAGTAGTATTCACCACCACCACCACCACTGCCACCAGCAGCGTCCAGTCCCTGTGACCGTTCAGTGATGAACAAATTTAACTATCCTTTCAATCAGAGGGACAAGTATCCGTCACACTGACAGCCCGACACAGAGCATCACACCAAAGAAGGAAGACTCACCTTCTGGACAGGGCAGGGGTCTCTCAGGTGGGGCAGGCGTGGACTTCATGCTGTTGCCCATTTCACTGTCTCCCGGCCGGGCAGTCGGGGCCACTGGCAGCCTAGAGTGCAGGACACAGGAGCGGAAATTCAGCCAAGCCCCCAGCCCTGCACACACACCGCGACCCAGTTTAGAACGCATCGTGCACCATCTTCAGCCAGCCTGCTTCTGGGATGGCTGGCTCGTGAAGAGGAGGCTGGGGGAGTGCTGGTTACGTTTGCACAGTGCAAGTGCTTTTATCAGGGACGACGGAGAGAAACCACACAGAAGGAAGTTGCTAGCAAGAGCTGTTGGTGGCAAAAGTTTCCATTCCTCTGTACCCAAGCTCAGCGAGCAAGCCGAGGTGGGGGTGGGGTGGGGTGGTGGAAGGGGGGGGGGGTTGACTCTCAACTGTCTCTCATCTCCCAGCATGAGGAATCCAGAGTTCCCCAACCCTGAGGTTAAGCATTGGACTGCTAACCTTGAGGTCAGTGGTTTGAAACCCACTGCTCCAAGGGAGAAAGTTGAGGCTGTCTCCTCCTAGAAAGACTGTCCGCCTCAGAAACCCTGGACGGGGGTAGTGGGATGGGGGGTGGGCAGCAGCTCTAGCCTGTCCTGTGGGGTCGCTGTGATTCAGGAAAACCCAGGTAGCAGTGGGTTGTTGGTAAATGGATGGGGGGAGGGCACTTTCTGTTGCTTATGTTGGGGTTTTTCCACCTGATTTGCGGTGGAAAAGGAATTCTTCCAGGACCACCTCTGCATCTGCAGGAGATGTTATATGCAACTCAAGTCCCCAGGTGTCACACTTGCTTAAGCGCTTGACTATTAAGCAGCAGCTTGGCAGTTTGAGTGAACTCCAAGGGGCTGCTGAAGAAAGGCCTGGCTACCTGTGAACACATATCCATCAACGTCCCTGTGGAGCCCAGCTCTACACTGACCCCAAGGTAACCGGTTACTGGGCAAAACACTGGCTAACACACCCAAGGCCTGGGTTACTTGAGATCTTGGTAAAATGCCTGTACCATGAACCCCATTTTACAGAACCCCATTTTATAGAATCCGAGTTTTGAAGAGGGTAAAGGACTTGTCCAAGGTCACCTGTCCAGTTGCACTGGCCCTGGGATTTGCAATCCTGATGCTAACTGAATCTCCCCTGGGTCGTGTCATGCCATGTGGGGGTGAGCTCAGAGACTCGGCCACATGGCTCTGTACGCAGACTCTGCCCGACAGGTTCAAAGACTTGGCAAGCTATTGGCCCTTTGCTGCCTTTCCTGGGAAACAAAGAGGGGCTTGTTGGGTGGTGGCTGCAACCATGAGCCTGGATGGTGTATATAAGTTACTCAGCACGAGGCTAAGACCTGCTAACCCTGGCGGCTCAGCGGGATTCGTGTTGCAGTCAGCAGTTCGAATCTACCAGCTGCTGTGCAGGAGAAAGATGAGGCTTTCCATTCCCATAAGGGGTTACAGCCTCAGAAGCCCCCAGAGGCAGTTCCACTGTCCTAGAGGGTCGCTGGGAGCTGGAGTTGCCTGGAGGGCAGGGTGCTTGGCTACTGGCAGTGAGTTTCCAGGTCTGTGCTGGAGGGAAGGAGCTCCGGTTATGGGTTCCTGGCTGGCAACGTAGAAAGGGGACGTGGCGATTGCAGAATTGGGGGTGTCTTCAGGAATAGCTCGAAGAACAGAGAAGAAGGTGAGCCTGCTGTACCGCACCTCATGGGCTGACCACTGGCTTACTGAAGTGTCCCGGGAGGCATTAATGGTTCTGAGAGAGGCTCTTATTTGAGACAAATTTCAAAGCCCCAGGGATACAGGCTGGGGTCTCCCTGACGAGATGGTAGAACAATTCAAAATAACTGCCGGTCGGTTTTTGCATGGCTGGAGGTGGGAGAGAGGGTGGGAGTGAATCTTTTCTAGGTACATCAAGAACCAGGTAAAGGAGACCAAGGTTAATTGACAAGGGCTCTGAGAATTCTCAACATCTGTCTCCCCAGCTGCTAACCTCAATGTCAGCAATTCGAATCTACCCGCTGCTCCGAGTGAGAAAGGCAGGGCTTTCTACTCCAGTAAAGAGTTCGTCTCAGCAACCCACAGGGGCTGTTCTAGCCCGTCCTACAGGGATGACCATCGACTCAAGGGTAGTAAGTTTGAATGGGGGTGAGCAGACATGTCCAGGAGGCAGGCCGGAACCACCACCTTTGTGCCCATGTTTTTTCTTCATGCCAGGGTAGGAGGTGACCCAGAAAACCCTGGCCTGGGTCATGGGGAACCCTCGTCCGATAAAAACAGCCTTGCTCTTGAACACTCTAACGAGGTCTTGTGCAGCAGATTGCCCAATGCAGTGTGCCCTTTGATCTCCTGACGGCTGCCTCCCTGAGCACCACTTGTGGAGCCAAACAAGAGGAAGCCCTTGATAACACCAACCTTTGCTTTCACTTACATTATGCTACCCACTGGCCCAGTTGTGAGGATTCTCGTCTTCTTTACATTGAGTTGTAATCCACACGGAAGGCTGCCATCCGTGACCTTCATCAGCAAGTGCTTCAATTCCCCCTCCCTTTCAACAAGCCAGGTTGTGTCATCTGCCTATCTCATGCAGGTTGTTAATAAGCCCTCCTCCGATCCTGATGCCACCCTCTTCTTCATAGAATCCAGCTTCTCTGATGATGCTCAGCCTACAGACTGGATTAAGTAGGGTCAGAGGATACAGCCCTGATGCATGCCTCTGGATTTTAAACTAAGCATCAGGCTCTTGCTCTGGTGGCAAAACTGCCTCTTGATCCATGTTCACGTTCCAAATGAGCACAATGAAGTGTTCTGGAATTCCTATTCTTCTTAAGGATATCTATGGTTTGCTATGATATGAACAGTTGAATGCCTTTGCATAATTTATAAAACCTATGTAAATATATTCCCTGCTTTGAGCCGAGATCTGGAATCAGGAATGATAGGCTTTGTTTCATATCCTCTTCTGAGTCTGGCTTACGTTTCTGGCAGCACCCTGTCAGTGCTGTTCCTCAACTGTTATTGAATGGTCTTCAACAACATTTTACTTGCCCGTGATATGCATGATCTTGTTCAACAATTTCCACATTCTGTGGGGTTGTCTTTCTCCGGAATGGGTACAAATATGGATCTCTTCTTGTCAGTTAGCCAGGCACCTCGGCTTCCAGTGCCTCATCCGCATGTTGAAGCATTTCAGTTAGTAGTCCATCCCTTAACGTGGCTATCCATACACTTCACGGTCCCTGGCGACACCGTGGGTTACAGGTTGGGTCGCTAACTGCAGGATCAGTCGTTCAAACCCACTAGTCACTCTATAATAGAGAGCTGGGGCCTGCTGCCCTTGGAAAGATTTACAGCCTCCGAATCTACAGACAGCGCTGCTGTGCCTCAGATCAGACTCAAAACAGTGGGTAGTGCGGGTACGTGGACAGAAGGAGCGTGGGTGGTACTGAGGTTAACGCTTTCTGCTGCTACCTTAAAGGGCAGTGATTCAAGCCCACCAGCCATTCCATGGAGGAGAGCTGAGGCAGTCTGCTACCATAAAGTTGGTGGCCACCGCAAGGGGCAGTTCTGTCTGCCATGCAAGCTCTTGGAGTTCCTGGGTGGCACAGACAGTTGCGCACTTGACCATTAGCCCAAATGTGAGTGGTGCAAACCCACTCGGGAGCCCCTCAGAAGACAGACCTGCTTCCGGAGGTCCCGCCTTGAGAACCTGGGGGCCAGTTCACTGTGCACCCGGAGTGGCCATGAGTCAGAGTCCACTCCATGACACAGGGAGAATGGTGAGGGACATTTCCCCGTCTCTTTCTGAGTACTCTTTCTGGCTATTGATTTTTTTAAAAAAATTTAAACCAAACCCACCACGGACTCAACATGGCCTCCTAAGACAGAGTTGAACTGCTCCCTAGGTTGCCCAAGACGATGAATCTTTTCAGGAAGCAGGCAGCCTCATCTTTCTTCTATGGAGCGGCTGATGGGTTTGAACCGCCGACACCTCGGGTTCGCAGCCTGATACTTGGCCCACCGAGCAGCCAGGGTCCCGAGGTGGTGCTTCTATAGGTGAGCTTGGCACGTTCTTCTTTAAACTTCTTGGAAACGGTCCTCTGGTCTGTCAGGAGCGTGGCATCTGGAGGAGAGCTTGGAAAGGGCTGGGGATGCTGGGAGCAGCATTTTGGGGGCAGGGAGGCGCGGATTCAAGCGGCCACTCCCAGGCCCACCAGCTGTGTGTCCTCTGGCAAGCTCCTCCCCCTCTGTGAGGTGCTCAGCTCTGTGAATCTGGGGTAAAACATACCCCACGCCAGGGCAGCTGGGGCGATGGAAGGTCCTTGTGAAAGCAGCTGGGAATTGGCCAACCTGGGTCCTTGAGGATGGTATTCAGGAGGCAGCCGTGCAAGCTTGAGCCTGCTGCTGCCCCAGGCTGGGCCTCAGCATCCTCTCGGGTGATGGGGAAAGGGTAGGAGCAGCCACTTTTGCCTCAATCTCCCTCCCGATGAAGGTCGCTGGTGTCCAGGATGGGCGCAGCACCCCTGTGGCGGACACTGGACTTGAGGGCAGTCGTAAGCAGCATGTCTCTTTCCGCCACCACGGACCTCAAAGGGTTTCCGGGGCACCTACCACATCCTGGCCCCTCAACAGGTGCAGCTCCTGAAATGCAAGGCTGGGGCTGCAGGGGCCACCTGCTCCGTGACCCACATCGGTCTCCCTGCGGGGTTGGGTGCAACCTCAAGGATGCTCACCCCCACCCCTGACACTGAGCCCTCCTTCCCTCGCACCATACAGGAGGCCCAGAGAGGAGCTGCCCGTGCAGCCTCCTGGCCCTGCTGGATGAACACAACCCTGTGCGCTTAGTGGAGAGCCACTCCAGACCCAGCCGGCTGAACCATAGCTTCCCAAAGTTATTTGGCCTCCCAGGCCCTGTGTAGAAGAACAAAATGACTGGCAATTAAAACTGCATTTAGGCCCATAATGCTGAATAAAGTGCGGGTATCTGCTTTTGTAGCCCCCCGGGATCGCTTCAGCACCCCAGGGAGTGATATCACCCATTGTGGGAAACCTTGTTCTAAAGGGTGGGGTCTTGTTTCA